TAGAACTAACAAACATAAACAATTAACGAGTAACTTCGTATGAAAATAACGACATAAGGGGATAGAACAGTGACGCTTTCTAGGCTACTCTAACGATGCTGCAACATTAATGGAGTGAATGCAGTGGTCAAACAGACAAGATGCTTTTCCAAACACCCCAGATTTTCTACCATTAGAGTTCTTAAACAAACAATAATAGTATATATGAACAGTTTTTAACCAAGCTAGGTGGTGCTTATCCCTAAGTTATCACACTATAAACTAAAGTAGATTCTAGCCTGACATGAAGTTTTCCGCTCCCTAAGACATTTTTCCAAAGGTTATTAAGAAGATATTTCAATATGGTGGTCAAGCACATTGAAAATAAAGTGATACAACAACTTCAAATCAAAACATACTATAATTACTGCAAAACAACAAAGTTACAGCCCTGAAAATGAGTTCACAACATATCTCCTTACACAAGGTTTTTAGCTAGACAATGCCATAAGGAAATTCCAAAATATAGGAATAAAATCAATACAAAGAGTTTAAAAGATGAAGAGAGAGAGTTGAAGATCAGCTCCCAACAAGAGTTCTCGAGTTCTTTCTCAGCTACAGTTATCTGGTCTTCTTCTCCTCTTGACTTTCTCAGACGGTTGGAGAGATTTTCTTGAAGTGAGGGTTGAGTAATTGCAAGAATGAAATGGAATTGTCTTGTGTGTGTGGAGGCTTCTATTTTTGTTGGCAATTATACCTCCCTCCGATTTTAGGACAACAAAACAAGCCCTATGGGGCCCAGCTCTTACTCCCAGGTGAAACCTCAAGTTACTGTGGTAAATTTCGTTGAGAAGTCTTTTCAATATCAGCTTGCTGCTTTTTGTCTCTTTCTGGACCCGATGTTGTAGCATCATCAAAGCTGCAGCAAAATGCTCAAAATTAGGTCATTTATATAAGCGCTAGAATTATATAGGAGAACCTTGCTTTACTTTCTAATTTAGGCACAACTCAATGAATATGGGGGCTAGATGAGGCTATCTTTCGCTACTTTAGACACAAATAACTCTCTTTAGGAGAGTTATCAATCATCGGTAAGCTTGTCTACACAAACATTGCTTCCACTGTTCATCTTCACAGAGTATTAAACTTAAACATCGAGCACTAGACTCAAACAATGAGCACTGAACTCAAACACAAACACGAGGTAAAGAACTTGGCTATGATACCGTGTAATGAAAACGAAGATGAATAACAAAGTGGAAGCAAGAGAGAAATCGTACGAAGGAAGAACTTCTATTAATTGAATTGAGATTGTTACAAAGTATTTATAAGGAATAAGAAAACCGATCACTAATCCAATACTTAGGCCACTAACCCACTAGTTAGGCCAGTACCCTTCAAAATCTCTCTAAACCAACACCACTACTCCATTAAGTCACTAAGCTATAAACTCTCCTTAAATTACAGCCACTCTTCCACTAATAAAATATAACTTCCAACTATGAAAACAACTACCAAGCATAATTCTTAAAATGTGGAAATACTAACAAATAAACTAACACATGTTTGCAATAATTACCCCGATAATGTCGATCTTGATTAGCTCTAAAACCTCTGTCAATATCTGAGTTGCTGTCACTGATTTGCTGTCAAAACCCGTTCAAAATTGGCTGCAAATAACACTTTTTTGTCTAACCAAACCTAAACCGGAAAACTGCACGTTTTTAGGCTTGAAACAGCGGTGTGGCACTGTCCCC